TTTGGCGTTTGCGTTTGTTTGCACATTCTCCCCTCTCCAAACAAATCAGTTTCTAGACAAATGGACCAAAGTTCAATTAAAGCAGACTAAGCAGAGCTAAAAACAAGGCTAGTGTAAATACACCCTTGAATATAAAGCTCTCCACCTTTTTTTTGCGGGGGGGCACTCCAACAATCTTTTACAGTGGTACCATAATCCAGCCTTTTATTTTAATGGTACATACATTTTAACATAGCAGTGTATAAGCTATTTAGGTATTTGATGGCAAAATAAGCATTACTAAAGACAAAGGTGCGTGTGGGTAGTGAAAACTACCCAAAGCAGCAGATGGCTTTGTTATGCAGCACCACCAAGGGAGTCCTTGAAGAAAACAGACTGAAGCATGATACTGAGTGAAACATCTGTCTGACATCATTGCCATCGAGCTTCAGCCAATCAAATCAACAAAGTGCTGTAAACAAAGCCAGAGATCCCGTTATTGACTGTTGACACTGTTGTTTCTTTAGGGATATCAGTGTAAAAAGGTTGAATATAAAGTGAACACGAGATCTCCCAAATTAGTTTTTATAAAACATTTAGAAACAAATCTTTTTGTTTCACTTAGCAAGTGTATTCTGTTCATGTGGGTCATATGGAATTACGAGTTACAGAAATGTTTGTGGTTTTATTGTCGTAAAAGGTACAAATGCCATCTGTGTTTTTCTAGGTACTAAGTGACAGCTTTAGTGGACTTTTGATTAAAGTTGACAGAATCATTTCATTTCTCTGAATTAAAATGTTCAAGTTACTTTAGCTAGGAAAAATAACCTGGAAATACTTTTAGCGAAGCCCAAAATCATGCAGAATGTAAAGCATCCATTGCAAACTGTAGTTTGACAAATAAAAATGTTGAAGGCTAATTCCCAAGCTAGGCCAACCCAACACTGAAAATGACAGAAGTTGTACGTTTTCAAATGTTCCACCATGCTAAAATATTAGAAAATATTTCTACAACGGTACACAAAAATAATCTAAATGTTTAAATCGCAAAAAAAAAAAAACAAAACGCCTACCAGCCCTTGGGGTTTAAAAAAAAAAAAAAAAAAAAAACCAAAACCCCACAAGCCTTTGGGAAGAAGACCTTCAGAAGAGCTGCCACCTACCTTTCATTTCTCCTCTATCTTTCTTCTATAGTCTGACCATGATTATAGTGCCATACAAGGCTTTGTTGCAAACGTGACTTGGATATAAACGCCTGTTCCCACACTCAGAGCGCCGGGTATATATCAGCGACTCATCGCTAAGACACAGGCTTCAAGGTCCCTCAATGTGAAACATGCCATTAGGTTTTTTCCTGTCTTTCTCTCTGGCTTTCTTTGCTTGAGCTCTCAGTTGCAATAGCAAGTCCTCTTTAGTTTCCTGTGTAGATACATTTTAGATACATCTTCCTGGATGCATACTATTGAAGGCACAAAGATTGGTTTGGGAGCCTACATGCAAGTTTATTAGACCAGATTTAGCTCCTGTTGCTTGGCCCTATTGATATTTTATTGGTAAGAACAATAGCTATGTGAGGAAATAGAAATATTGTATTCCAGTTTAAGATTTTCTAAATCTATTGACATGCCCCAATGTCCTTCAAATGTACTATTTTTTTCTTTATGTCTGGTGGATCTCAGCCAACTTTCTAAAAGCCCTTCTTGTTGATTCACTGTTCTTTTGCCATAAGGAGAAGTGATGAAACCAAAGGCACCTTCAGATAAATTAGACTAAATAGGAGGACTAGAAGCAAGCCAAGGTAAGGTCTTTACTGCTTTGAAAAGTTTGTATCTCCCATAATTGTTGTGTACTTTGTTCCCAAAGATTCTGACATTTTCTTTCATACTTCTTCATTGTTATATCTAATCTTTGGTTCTCTAGGCTTTCTCAATGTTTTTCAAGGGATTATGGACTTCAGATGCTTTTTTATGAACCTTCTATACAATTTATCTACCTGCTGGTATTGTCAAGATTTTGCCTAAACAAGGAAAGTTAAAGAAGTGCTTGTTAATAAAAACTATCTCTGCCAAATGACTAGTCTCTCATAGTCACGTCTTTGAGGGAAAAAACAAAAAACAAAAACAGGATCCAGTTATAAAAACTTGAAAATAGAAAATTTGGATTCAGGAGCATTTCCAAGATAAATGATTCATAGGCATTGGTTTAGTTGATGATCAACAAAAGAAACATTTGTATTCAAAGTACTGGTTAGAAAATGAATAGAAATAGCATTTAATGTCCATAACTATTTCTCAGACAACTACACTGAGATTTTATAGATTGAGAGGTGAAAATTGAAAAATTAAAATAATTACACATGAATACTTGATGGTCTCTGCGTCATTCCTACAAGGTTCAATACTGTGTGAACTTATCAATCACGTTTATTTGCCAAGCACATTTCACAAGTTACAAAAAAAAAAAAAAAAAAAAAACGTAGTCATAGAAGACCCCACACAATCAACAATCAAGAAAATTTTAACATTTTGCCAAGGGCCGTCAATGCACATCAAAGTGTTGGTCAATGTTCTAGACAGGTGGGTTTTTAGTCTAGATTTATAGGTGGCAATGTTTTGAAGTCAATACTGAAATGCAGCTTATGCCATAGGGGTTGTGAATGTAAGTTCATTCATTGTTATTAATATGTTGCCTCAAGTCAACAAACCAGAAATAAATCAAAATGGAAGGACCAAAATATTCCCAGTCAGCTCATCAAAGTGGCAGTGAATCACAGAAAGTAAAACTTTGCACATCTACCTGCAACTACAAAAGAACAATGAAGTTGGGTGAAGCAAACAGCACAAAGTCCACCACGCTGGGTGGGTTTTGGGTTTGTTGCCCTGCAACTAAAGGAAAAATTAATTACAGAGACTCTGAGTCAATCAGCCATGGATTTTCAATTACTCTTGAAATAGTGGCAATGAAACAGCCTCGGCGGTGAAATATGCTGTTGCCCAGCCGGAGAAAACAGCAACAAGACAGGGGATTTATTTCAATGAACCTCCCCTCAACACAGGCGGAATTTTTCAACATTTGATAGCATCTGGTTTGTGCAGCAGAGGGTCACTCCAATGAAAGCAACAAGAAGTGGTCAAGACTGGCTGTAGGGGATATACAAAGGCTTATCAGAAATGCAGAAAACTGTCTCTCAGTTTCACGGCCAGGCTTCCTCCGTCTTACCTCAGTTCCCCCCCCCCCTTCACCCCTGTCTTTACTCTCTCTGACTTTTCAATTTCCAAAGACCTGCAGGGGCCAAAAGGCTAGCTCAAAAGAAGACTGTAAATTTTTAAAATTCCATCTCCTGGGACGTGAAAGAGGCATGGTTAGGGTGTGAGGTGGATTGGTAGTCCAACAACAAGAAACATGAAAGACCCTTCAGCATGACGACACCAACGACTGAATGGCTCTCAAACTTTTGCTTTCTGCAGGGCACTGGTTAACGTACATGGAATGAGGCAATGCTACCAAGTGGGAGAAGATTGGCGGAAGTTAAATTACTTTTTCCCATTTTGCTATATGTTGTAAACCTGCTCTTTCAGCCTCAGAGTGTTTATCTGTAGTTTATGTGAAGTTCAGCTAGTTTCACTGTTTCCATTTAACAGTATTTATGTAAACCTGCTTGTAATCAATACGACAAAAGCACATATACATACTGAAACATTGTGCTTTCTTTTCAGTGTTTCCTCTCACACTAATTGATTTCCTTTCCCTCTGTAACTGTTATATTTTTCTGAGTTTACTTCGTTTAGAAATACTTATTATTTAGTTACCAGGAAGCACAAAATTGGTATGTTTACTTGTTTAAAATGTTTGGTTCTTCAACTGTTTATCGTAGTTCTAATATATTTGGTTTAGGTTAAAAGGTTTTAGAAATGTCCATACAAAAGAGAGAATATTAAGTGCTGAAAAGCAGAATTTCAGACCCTCATAATCTCTGAATACTTATTTAAGGAAAGACATGTGTTCAGGGTTTCAAACCTTACCCCATAATTAAATCAGTTAAGCTGATTACTCCTACTGATCTCTGCTGGTGGGGGAAACGGAAAAATGCCATCACCGAGCAAGAAATCAAAGTTTACCTCTGCAGGATAAACACCAGCTCAATTGAAATATCTCTCCCAGCTCCATGCTCACTCTGTCAATCTCGTAGCATTTCCAATCACCCAAGCTCAACTCTTAACAATTTCCCCTGTTTTCAGAGTTGCTCTCATTTGAAATTAGTCTAAAAGGGTTGCTGGTTCTTGGTCTCGGACCATCTGCTCCACTTCTCTCTGCTCCTTCTTTCCTGTCTATCACTGTTCAATAAAGGGGACTAGAGTGTACAAAGAAAAAAAGTACTGAAGCTAAAGGTAATGGATTACTATTTTTGGGTGGCAGTTTTAATCATGTCTGTGGCTTGGTTATGAAAACGTATACCCACTGTCAGGGCAACCTGGCACCGCCCAAACCCTGCAAGCTGCACCCTGTACAGCAGCTAATTAGGCTCCACCAGGTGAACCTAATTAGGTCAATCAGCAGCTTGTGCTCATGGATGATGAAACCAGCCACTCAGCTGGTGTACAGCAAGCAGTGCAGACAGCAGCAGACACACAGGCGAGTAATAGTACTCTAAACTTAAAATACTATCTGTCTTGTTAGCATGACCACTGATGACAGCAGATAAATGTTTTATTTTTTTTTTTTTTGTAACAGTAAGTTGTTTCTATGTCATTAGCACATTTAGCACTACTGACTGACAGTCCTAAGGCCTTACTCCTGGTTCTGATTGGTTGTTTTTGGTGTTGGGCGGTTAATTTCTTCAGATGCCAATAGTAGCTCAGGGAGGAAGTGGAGAGCAATCTCAGCACAGATTATGTGTCTCATAGCTTACAATCACAACATGGTGACACTTTTAATGAATATGTGCAAAACATATGCTCTCCACTGTAACTGCATCAGCTGCTGCACTTTTTAAAAAAAAAAAAAAAAAAAAAAAAACGCATGCTGCAGCTATTTGCTATTTTTGTTATATTGGTGCAGAACTTTTATTACATACCTGACTGTAGTCAAATGCCTTATAATCTAAACTATCACTTGGTAAACTTTGGAAGATGTGAATAAATTAACAATTGGATGCAGTTTGCAGTCGTTCTCACTGGGTTTTTATTTTATAGATTAAGTAAAAAATTGTCACTGGTTAAGCTGTCAATAGAACATGTGTGAAATGGGTCTTGTTGGAAATATCACACGCCATCAAAAGCTTGGCTGGTGTTTGCACTGTGTCTTAATGGCACCACTTGAAATGTCAAGATTATTATCGGTGGTGAGCTCAATGGTGTTTGGATGCCTTGTGATTTTCTTCAGTATTAATGCACCTATGTAGGTGAAAAGAAAAGAAAAAAAGTGCCAGTGGTTACTTTCAATTATGTCCTTTTTCATATTTAATGGTGTTTATCTGAGTGAAAGGTCAGCAGTGCTGTGTTTGTGTGCTTTTCCTAATGCTGTGGGAGGCATCTGGTACCCTGCTGCTTAGCCTGTTCTGTCTCTTTAAAAATGCACAGCGTTACGCCACAGGGAGCAGTGACCCCCATGACGCTAACCTATTGAGCGGTAAATATCAGGTAACGTAGCCAAGGAAATCCCACTTCTCACATCTTCCTTCACAACCTTTTACATTGTTGCCAGAGATTAAGAACTTAAGTACCCGTTTTATTTTTAGCACTGTATTGTCGGAGTAGGTAATTTAGAGCTTTATATTGATTTTTTTTTTTATTATTTTGGATTGGAGCATAAAATGAAGCCAGACAGACTAAGTACCATCACACAAACCAGATAAAAGGTTTGAGATTTCTCAAGTCAAGAAGTGAGTAAGAAATGCGATCAGCATTTGGAGAAATAAGTCATAAGTACAAATATTAGATTCCAGGGCAACAATGTTTTCATAAAAAACATAGAAACATCCAAGCAGTAATTCATGCCATCTTCTGTAAAACTTTGCTTTGAAAAACTATCCTTAGAGAATACAAAATACAAGAACTGGAAATTGGAAAAAGAAAAGCATCACAATTAAGCTACAGTATAAATATAAATTCAAATGGCTGAATGTTTTGGTGTTCTGTTAGTCTCTCATTTACCTGGAAGAGTGGAGATATTTCTTGTCTAAAACGTGTTTTAGGGCTGGTTTACCTAATGATGACTTTTTACGAATTAAAACAAAGATCTAATATATCTTATATGGGATTTACTGAAGTATGCAACTCAAGGCAATAATTTCAGGAAATGCAATAAAATCAGAAACAATAAATGAACCGATTTGACGTAATGTGCTTTCATACTGTATTGCAACTCTGCTGAGTTAATAATACATCCATGTATATTTCTTTGTGATGTAATTTCATCAGCTGCTTATATCTAAAATGATCCATCACTGAAAAAAAGATGGAAGAGAACAGAATTACCACCTCATCATTCTCTCACATTACATCTGTGTTGTGTAAACTATGCATTGCAAATGACAACGCCTCTGAGTGACAGCAGCCAGCGCTATTGTGTAGATGCTAAGCATACAATATGTTTATTTACAATTACCCAACCCGGCTGCACCTAATGTCAACAGTCGTGAATACTTGTGCAGTTTTGAGTCTTTAGAACTACCTTTTAAATTAGGCTTACTATAAAATAATTTATAAAAGCTAAAATCTGACAGAAAAAAAATGCATTTTCTACTTGCTGAACTGTAGTAATATTCTACACACTGGTGATCTCTATACAATCCATCAGAATTTGTGACCCATCTTGTTGCACAAGAGATGAAACCAGAGGGAACGTAATTATTCTTCACAAATTGCCATTTGAGGCAACTTGATTAGACTTCACTGAACCTCTTCAACCAGTTGAAATGGGGAAAAAGAGAGAATGGCATTAGCCTTTTATCTGGCACAATCTAGTGATTGCTATATTCAACTTTCTCACTTCAACTAAAGAATTGGCCCATTGTCATTTTTAAGAGAGCTCTGTACAGAGAAAAAACAGAAAAGTAAACAAAACTTTTCAATGACTCATGATAACTGAATGAGCTCTCTACAAGGCCTTGTCATCTGCTGGCGACAAACATTTCATTCAATGCACTGAGGCCAAATGTCAGTAAGCTATTCAAAAGGTAAAGATCTTATTTAAAAAAGAACAAGTTGCTCTCCACTGTAACTGAGCCTTTGCTTCAGAAAGTCTTTCATCTGGAGGTGAAAACTTCCCATCAGATCGCATTCACGCAGTTTCAAACCGCATTTCTCTTTCTATCTACAAGGGCAGAGCGGAATGCATCATTAAAGATGCATCTGAATCCAAACAACGGACTTCTTCCTCTCCTCCCATCTGGCAGGCATCACAGTAGCCGCTATATTTTACAAGCTCAGGCAAGGCTTCTTCACCGAGCCCGTGACCCTGCTGAACTTGGCACATTAACCTGAAGTATACATTCATTACAGCTCTGCTTCAGTCCTTTTTCTTTTTTTCTTTAAGCACAAGCTGAACCTCTTCCTGGGTACAAGTTGCAGTTATGCTGCAAATTCTACAAATAATTAGACACATTTTAATTGTATTTCAAAGACATAATACCAGTTGTCTGAACTGAAGCTAATGACATGAAATTAAACCAAATGGGTTCATATATATATATATATATATATATATATATAAAATCTGAATTGACCGATTTAAAAGTCGTATCATTAAATCGGAGCTGACAGAAGTAATCAAAATGACAGCAAACAGTTCGCATGCATCTGGATGTACAATTGCTTATCACACTCCATCAATCACAAACTGACTTCTTGTGCCACAGGGGTAGTTATACATTTAAATGATGGCACAGCGTTACACTACATCTACCTAGATAGTGTGTGTTGCTCAAAAAAAAAAAAAAAAAAAAAAATCAGACCATATGTGCAGTCACTGCTCAGTGTTTAAGAACATCCTGCCCCACTTTTCTGTTTTCTTCTGCCAACTTATGGAGTTCAGTGTTCGTCAGATAAATGTATTCGTTCAACTGTGTGTGTGTGTGTGTGTGTGTGTGTTGTGTGTCTTAAGAGTATTAGCAATCTTTTTCTATTTCTCTGGCCACTGCAGGTGATCACGTCTCTACCTGAGAGTCTCTGTGTGTTTTAGTCTCTACTTGTGTGACGTGTGCATGCTTTGTGGAAAAAGAGAGAGACAATTCAGGGATATACAAACTCCACTCTGTTCTAATGAGCTAGCTGTGCTGCTCCTCTAGCTCTGTCTCTCGGGTCCTCCTGCCGGCTCACCACTAAAAGGTTCGAATTAAAATTTCAAACCGAGCCGTGCCATGTTTCTCTGGCATTTATGTATAAAACATGTTTTTTTTTTTTTTTTGTTTTTGTCTGCTAAGGTCAGAACCCTACTGTCTAGTTCTCACTGCCACTCGGAACCACCAAACATTTACAAGTCAACAAATTTCACAGTAAGTTACCCAGTGATGCCACTCTTCAGTCCACTGCATAATTTCAGTCATTAAATGTCTATTAAATAAACCTATTCCTGTCAGATGAAAACAGCCCTAAAGTCTCACAAGACCGCAAGGATCCCCAAAACTGAATGTTGGTGGATTGCTTCAGAGTTGGAAACAGATTCCACGTATTACTGAAGTAATCAAAACAAAGATTAAAATAAGTAAGCTACAAATCGCTATGAGATCATACTGGGTGTTAAGAAAATCCAACATGCATTTAAAAATAAAGAACATCTGCAGTTAAACTGCTCTATAACGTATCTATTTCTGCCTTTCTACCCATACATGTTGCTTTTATTTATGTATCTGAGTAACTGTTTGTTTTCCCAAGACTGAGGCTGATTGTCACGGCTGTTCAAAGACTCCACCAACTGGCACTAGGATTTGTGATTCAAGAGGAGTGAAGCTGTTGGACTCATGTTTTCTTAAAAAAAAAAAAAGCCTTTTAAAACACTGATGCTGTCAACTGCAAACATTGTGCTGCATGTGGTATCAACCTAGTTTTTTTTTTTTTTTTTTTTCTTGTGCACCTCTTTTTGCTCCCATGAAAGCACAGCGCACCAATAATATTCTGGTCTCAACATGTCCATCAAGCAGGCTTATCAGGTAACGGCTGTCCTCGCTGTACATCTAAATAATGACTTCACATCATAAACACAGCAGGAGCGATAAAAACACAAAAAGGGAAACGCATTTCCTCACATTGCGCTCTCTGTCTGATCAGAGTATATTGGCCTTCTTAAAAGCTACAACAGTATCTCGCTCTGTCAGTGAGAAATCACATCATTGACTTCATTTCTGCAAGTGATGTGGTTATTTTTAATGCACGACAGGTTGTAAAAGATGGCTGAATGATTCACCCCTTCAGATGACTCACTGAACAACGAAAAGCATTGATAGTTATTTAAAATGTGGAAGTGCAATTGTAGCAGATGTTTTGTTGTAAAAAAAAAAAAATGCACGTTGCTCATTTGTAATTTGTATCGGGAAGGAAAATTTGTGCTTTCTTATACATTAATGCATATATATATTTTTTTTTCAATAATAAATTTTAGAAGTGGAATGTTGTTTCCACTCCAAAGACAGGGGTGCTCGCCATATGCTCTCTCTCCACGGGGGCAGTCCATGTTACAGATAAATGGCTATATATTTTTAAGTGAACAAAATTAAACACTCGAAGAATCAGTCACGTGCAATGAATCTACATCATTTACTTTTTGAATTTAGCTAAATAAAATATTTCAGTCATGTAATTTATTCAGATTTAACCTGCATGTAAAATTTTATCTGTGTAAATTTAAGATCGACAGATAAATTTAAATTTGTGAACTTTGTTCAAAACGTAAAAGAGCAGCTCAAATATCATGTTGATGAGTAAACTACTGACCTGAACTGTATCCTTTAGGGTTCAATGACTACAGTAGGAAATTAAATAATACAGCTCGCTATCATTCTCAAACAGACATGGCGTTTCCACATCCAGATGCCCAGATAAAGTGAAAGAGGATAAAAACAGAGAGAATATATTAAGTAGAGAAAGAAGTTGGAGAGAGTTTTTTTTTTGGTGTTTGTCAAAATACATCTCTTCCTCAGTCTGAAGACAAATGCAACTGGATGTTCTGAGCAGACGTAAATCAGGGTTTTTGTTTTGTTTTTGTTTTTTTTGTTTTTTTACGTAGATTGAGTCGTCACTTATGTTCTTATTTATTTTCTCGCTGTCAAGAGACTTAATTTGGCTCTAAAAGCCTACAAATCAAAGTACATGCGTTTTTATTTTGTTGAAGATTTTATCAAGTTAGAGAATGTGTTTCAGGAGTAATTTCTGAGTGTAACGCTTATCTTTCAATTTAATTGCACCACGTGTTCTGTTTGTAGGGTTTGAATGATCCAAAATGCTAATCAGCCTACTGTGAAATTAGGTTATATCATCCCCGCACAAGACTACAGTATGTGAGGGATGGGTGGGAGAAGAAGACAAAGAGCAGCAATAGGAGATCAAAAGCACTCTGTAATAATAAGAGTCTCTCTTTCCATATCCTCTCTCTCTCTCTCGCCCTCTAAGTTTGTCCTCTCTCTCTTCCTCTTTCTTCCCCTCTCTTTCCTCCTCTCGCTGCCTCTGAATGGGAGATGACGCTTCAGATATTAGTGAGCTGTGTCAGACAGTTAAACTGCCCTTTATCGATCCTCTACGCTTCAATCTTTCCAAGCAGCCGTTATGGTTTTAATGGCCTGTAATGGAGCTGGGTCTTCTTTGATGTCCAATTGCTCAGCAGGCCCTTGTTTTTGATAGAGTTTCAAAGGATGCTCCGAACAGAGCGGCACATTTTCTACACAAATTCTTAGTTCAATGAGGTTCTCAATGTCTCAATCTCGGGGGGAAAAAAAAAAAAAAAAATGAAAAAAAATTCAAAAGAAGAGGAAGGTAAACGGAGAACAGATATCTGAGATTTTTTTTCTCCAGACTTACTGGAAGCTTATAAAAAAAAAAAAAAAATGGCTCAATCAATTTTAAACGTGCTGTAATATAGTAAGAACGCACAAAAAAATCCTTTTGCATGCAATTTCATCTTGCAACTCTTGATACCAAAATCAACCAATTTTAAGTTTTTAAGTTTTGTTTGCCGCTTCCAAAAACAACTGATGGCTTATTAATCAAAAAAACGCAAAAACTACCTTAACGAGACATCCTGTTTTCTTTCTATAAGGCAAGATTAGTAAATCTTTCAAAATGCATATTTATTTGTATCCTGCAAAAATTATTGTGAATAAAACTCAATGACAAATCCCTTACTACCTGTTAAAATAAAAGTGAGGGGGACCATTTCTTTGGGATCAGTGTCTCTACACACTTTACAAAATTACAAAACGGTTGTTTCAAAAGTCTTACATACACAGAGCAACTACATAGAAGCATTTATGTAGGACCTCCTTCAGCTGATAGTTTGTTCATGGCTTTTTGAGCAATATTTTTTTCAGTTGGACCTTATTTCCCATTTTATTTCTAAAAATCTTCATTCCACTTCCCCTGCTCTGTAACTGTTGACATAGTTTAAATCTTTTTAAATTTGCAATTATTTACAAATTTCAGCGTTTTAATATCGGTATGGGATAAACTATGTTTGTGGGCTAAAACCCGTTAACTCTAAAATGACAAACTTTGTGCTTTTAAAGAGTCTATGTTCGGTGTCAAAATAAATAAAAAAATAATAATTTACATATTGAACTATGAGGTTCAAATTGAGGCTTAAAGGTATGAAAAAAACAAGCAACCTAAGAAACACTCACTTTCTTACTTTGAAATACGAGTCTCACTCTATTCACATCCATTATTTATTATAACAGTTTAATATTCTTTTTAGGAGACAAATTATAGAGGAAAAGCCAATACATGAAAAGAAATGTGTTGTAGCCTCATAAAAGATCTTAAACTTTCTTTTGAAAATTGTTGACGACTTGCTTCTCCCACTAATTGTCAAATAGCTAAAAATAGCAACATCAACTTGCGTCATTTTTTTTTCTTCATTTTTTTTTGTTTTTTTTGTTTTTTGCTAGAAGCTTCAGCTTCATCTTGAAGTGTACACACAGCTTGTGCTTCAAAGTCCAATGAAACTTATGACCTAAATAAGTTATATCAAAGCTGAAGACCCCCCAAAGAGAAAAGGGGGCAATGGAAATAGATCATAGATGTAAGAGTGTATCTTAACCTTCAAAGGAGTTTTCTGTAATTAAATCTCTATTCAAAATAAACAAAAATAGGTTGCTGATATGTCTAGTTTATTGTCGATGGCGACCAGTAGGTACCTCCAACATTATCAGCATACGACCCGCTTTCTCCGCTTCCTGAAAACTCCTGAATAACAACATTCGAATGCAAGGGTGGAAATCGGTATGCTCTCATGTTGGATTCCTTTTGAATTTTGCTCATAGACTCTGGCGTCGAAAGAGTCTGTAAGGGGTTAAAGAAGCTGTTTCATAGTCATTGTTTCCACTTCAAAAGGAAGAACCAACGCAGCAAGAGATCCTCCGAAAGCCCTCGTTTTTATTAGTGGCTTTCGAAGAAGCGTGTTTATTCAATATGCGACGCTGACGGTTGCAACACGTTAACGGGAGGCATTCAACAAATGTTGGTAATTAGCAAATGACTGTGTTTCCTGTCAGATTGCGCGTATTCAGAACTGTGAACGGGCACAACAGAGAGCGCGAACTCTCCTACTACACGCTGGCGTATTCTACAAGTATTGAGGCACAGATGAGAAAAAAAAACTGTTTCAATGATGCACAAGGAAACATAACTGGTTTATTTATTTATTTATTGTTTTACATCTGTTTGTGCCATGGAGCATAAAGACAAATTGAAGCAGACATTGAATTTGCTGGGAATTACCCCCCCCCCCCCCCCCCCCCCATCCTTTAAACACGTCCTTTTTTTTTTTTTTTTTGTTTTATTCAC